GAACGTACAAAGTCTGAGTCTAGAAAACCTGGAAGGTGTAAGGAATGAAGGGGAATGCATACATTTGGACATCACAGGCATTAGGAAGATGAAATGGGCTGGTATTGGCTGTTTTGAATAGAAAACCACATGATTTACTATGGAATTACACAATCCAGAGGGATAGCATTGCATTCATTGTCAAAAAATGCATTTCAAGAACCATCTTGAAGGACAATGCTATCTGTTACGGGATTATATATTTTTTCATACAAGGAAATCCATTCAATACAATTATTATTCAAATTTATGCACCAACCACATAAGCTAATGGTGAAGAAATTGAAGAATACGATCAACATATTCTGTAGAAAATCGATCAATTATGCAATCAAGATGCATTGATAATTATTGGTGATAGGAATACAAAAGTTGGAAACAAAGAGGAGGGAACAGTCGTGGGAAATATGGTCCTGATGATAGAAAAGAAGCTGTAGATCACATAACAGAATTTTGCAAGACCAATGACTTATTCATAGCAAATACTTCCTTTTTTAACAACACAAAAGGTGACTACACACTTTAACTTCTCCAAATGGAATACCCAGAAATCAAATTGACTACACCTGTAGGAAGAGATGAGAGGGAAATTCAATATCAGCAGCTAAAACAAGGTCAGGGACTGACTTGGAACAGACCATCAATTGCTCCTATGTAAGTTTAGGATAAAGGTGAAGAAAATTAAAACAAGTCTAGAGACAAAATACAACCGTACGTCTATCCCACCTGAATTCCGAGAACCTCTTAAGAACAGATTTGCTACATTCAACACTAATGACCAAAGCTGTGAGAGGGCATCAAGAACATCATTCATAAAGAAAGCAAAAGGTCAAGAAAAAGGCAAGAAATTAAAAAAAAACCAATGTGGATGTCAGAAGAGACTCTGAAATATGTTCTTAATTGTACAGGATCTAAGGCAAATGGGAGAAAACAAAGAGCTGAACTGAAAATCTCTAAGAGCAGCTACAGAAGTCAAAGTAAAATATAATGAAATATGCAAAGGTTTAGAGTTAGAAAATCAGAATATGCCCGGCATATTTTAAACTGAAAGAAATCAAGAAAAATTCAAGGTTTGAGTTGCAATATTGAAAGATTCTATGGGAAAAAATATTGAATGATGCAGGAAGCATAAAAAAGGATGGAAAGAATAAACAGAGTTATTGTACCCGAAAAACCTAGTTGGCCTTCCACTCTTTCAGTAGGTAACATGAGAAAGAACTAATGTTACTTCAAGAAGTTCAAGCTGCATTGACAGCATTAGCCAAAAACACAGTTTCAAAAATATATGTAGCCCTGGAAGCACTCATTCATCTATGCCAGGAAATTTTAAAGGCAACTATTTGGCCAACTATTTGGAGAACAGTTGTCTATATAAAGTAGTTTACCTCTTACTAGGTAGGTATGTATAGAAGAACTCCATCAAGTTATACACGCACACAAAGGTGGTGTATTTAGATTGCATTTGCTAACAGCAAGGCTTGTGATTATTTTGGAAAGGTGATTTTATTTGCGTGATATTAACTCATTTTTGTGTCACTGTTGTGTCTTTGAAGGATCAGAAATGTCATCAGAACAGTGAAGAAGATGGAGATTATTTATGGGAAACTTTATGAAGTGCAGAATAGACACTCCCAGTGAGTTATTTGGGGGATGCAAATTCATGAAATGAGAGTTATCTGTAAAGAACAAGTCATTTCAACAATAGCCAAGTTAGGAGCACTTGTGTGTGCATATACATTTCTTAGAGTTGGTGACATAAATATGAGGAAGATGTGATGTCACTATTCAAAAACTCTCAGCTTCGGTAGATAAGCAAACAAATGGCTTAGAGTCAAGTCACTGTATGAATGTGTTCTTCTGATAACTTTAGCTAAAAATATTATCTCTGAGTGAATTATAGAACATATACTCTAAGACTCTAGATTTTATCAGTCTATATTGAATATTTACACCAAAGTAAAAGATAAAGTAATCCTCTTTCATGCTTCTTTCTCCTTTTTTTTACTGTTTTACTTTAATCTAAAATATTCTTCCTTCTACTTCTCTCTGTGAAGTTTCTCAAGCCTAGCCATCCTTATGAGCCCTTCATGCTCTGATCTTGGGCTGTCTCTCCATTTCTGGTCTTCTAAAATGACTTCCATTGTGTCTCTGTTCTGTGTTTTCAAAATTAAAGGTTTTGAACATATAACAAAAATTATATTTTTACTTTACCACCTACCTACCTTTCTTTTAAAACATGTTATTTTGTTACGTTTACACAAAAAAATAGTTTACCAATTAGCAATTTTTTACAAATAGTTGCATGCCATTGGTCAAAATTTTGTAATGTGTCAGCATTCTTATGTTTTCTATTCAATTTATTATGTTTCCATTTTTCTAGCTTTCTTATCCTCCTTGCCTCTTAATCTTTGCTTTTGAGTAAATATGGACTGTTTGGCCTCAGGGAACAATTTTCTCGCTAGGGAACCATTCATTTTATAAGCCAAACTATTATTTGGCTAAAAGATCACCTCTAGAAATAGCTTCCGTGCGATGTTTAAAGGGACTGGGCCAATAGTTAAGGTCCATGATTCTTCTAGTCCCTTTGTTCAATAAGTCTGGATTTATTAGAATTTTTAAGGTTTTCCATATCCCCTACACACACACCTCCTCATTCCATAGAGTCTTTCCCATTGTGTGCCTAGTCAGAAGGATCTGCATCTAGTTCTTGTGATGTCACAATAGAGGAGATCATGATTCACGTGGACTCTTGGTTTTATGGACTAGTTTATTCTTTGTAACTTTTATTTGCATCATTATATTTTTCTCTCTAGGAGCGCATTATATATTTCCCCCTAAGAATGATGCAGGAAGCATCAAGAGAAGATGAAAAGAATATATAGAGTCCCTGTAGCAAAAACAACTATTCAACATTCTACCTTTCAAGAGGTAGCATATGAACAAGGACAAAAGATGCTGAAGGAAGAAGTTCAAGTTGCACTGAAAGCAGTATCCAGAAACAAGGCTCCACCAGTTGATGGAATGGCAATGGAAATTTTTCGATGAGCTGATGAAGCACTGGGAGTACTTACTCATCTATACCAGGAAATGTGGAAGGCAGATACTCGACCAGCTGATTGGAACAGGTTCATAGTTGTACCCATTCCAAATAAAAGTGACCCAATAGAATGCTGAAATTATAGAACAATATCATTGATATTACATGCAAGTAAAATTTTGCTGAAGATCATCAGTGGAACTCTATTTGCAAGTTAATGTTCAATAATTTCCACATTCTGTTGGATTATATTTCCTTGGAATGGGTATAGAAGTGTGTCTCATCAGGTTGACTAGCAGGTAGTTGCCTTACATTTTTCTTGGCGTGGATGAGTCAGTAATTTTAGTGCTTCATTACTATGTGAAAACATTTCTACTGGTATATTTTTCAATTCAAGAAGTCTAATTAATTGCTTACACCTTCAGTAAAGCCTAGATTTCTTCTGCCAGTACCATTGGTTCTTGGTCAAAAGCTACCTATTCAAATGGTTGAATGTCATACAGTTATTTCTGGTACAGTGGTTTTGCGCTCTTTCCATCTTACTTTGATGCATCTTGTATCACTGATTATTCTCTCATAGAATCTTTCAATATTGCAACTTAAGATTTAAATATTTTCTTCAGTTCTTTCAGCTTGATATATACTACGCAAGTTCTCGATTTGGGGTTTTCAACTGCAGACCTTTGCACATTTCATTACAATGATTTACTTTGTCCTTTTGAGCAGCCCTTTATAGTTTTTCTGTTCTGTTCTTTTGCTTAATGTTTTTTTTCTATTTGCTTTAGCTTCTCTATGTTGTAGAGAAAGTTGTAAAGTCTCCTCTAACATTGACTTTGTTCTTTTCTTTCTCTCTTATCTTTTAAAATTTTGATGGCATATCATTAAGGGCAAACATTGGCTCCCAAGGTCACTATGACTTAAAATATGCATGATGGGATTAGCCCTTCCCCCACCCCCACTTCCCCCAGTCATACTACTACCCCCTATTTCCCACCCAATTTCTTCTTCTAGAGTTAAATATAAATATACCAAAAACAGCACTATGAAATTTAGGCTACTATATATCAACAAATGAACACTATGTAGAAACATATCTATTTTCCAATGAATTCTATATTTTTATCTAGCAGAGGAGATTCTGGATTATCCAGAAAATGACTATTCCTGGTGGAGTCTCTAGCCTAGACATTCTTGAATTACAAGGTGACCAGTATGGAAAAGTAGCTTTACTAGAAACACTGTCTTTTATTAGGGCATTTGGAACTAATGTTTTGCCAAATAAAGCTGAAATAAGTAATTTGAAAATATTACTTACATTTTACCCTGACACCTTCATCGATATCTTGTGTTTCACTAATAGCTCAAAGCAATAAACGACCACCTTCCCTTTGCAGCTTGGCAGGGCAGACTCTACAGGTAGCATCTTGTTTATTTAGCTGCTCTCAAGTTGGCTCCGGCATAATGGTGGCCCCATAGCGCCGTGCCCTCCCACTGTGGGTTGAATATTGACCACAGTGACCAATAGGGTGTTCATTGGCTGATTTTCAGAAGTAAATCATTAGGCCTTTTATTCCTGGTCCATCTAGCTTTGTTGAAGTTCATTCAGCATTATAGCAATATGCAAGGATGCCCTGAATGACAAGTGGTGGCTGTACTTCAGGTACACTGGCTGAGAATCAGACTCAGTCTCTGTCATGGCGGATTAGAATTCTACCACTGAGTTGTCAGTATGGTTCATGTGTCTGGCTTATGTCAGACAGAATTCAGTACAGAACACGAAGAATATGAATGAATATTGTGAGGCATCAGCTGCACAGTTCCTTATGAAACACACACACACACACAACAGGTAGATCTTGGAGCGTGGGAACTGATTATTGGTATGGAAAACGTCTTGCCAGGTCCCTCTGTGAAGGGGTGCTCTACTTGATAGATGGATTTTATTTACAAATACTGAAAACACCATTTGCAATGAGGAAACATTCCAAATTTTTACTCATGAAATTAGTTACAAAGCCACACATCCAGCGCTGAACAAGAGGGAAACGAAACGTTCCAGACGCATCTTGAGGAAAGTTCCCAGGAAACGCGCATCAGGCCAGACATCTCCCCCTCCGCTGTGTTCCACAGCAGCCCGTGCTCATGCCTGCATTTGCTCAATAAGCTCTTCCTTGTATTTGCCTTTCTCTTTTCCAACCTGTCGAGATTTGGCTTTGCGCTCAAGAATTTTTTTCCGATCTTTATCTAACTTCAGCCTGGTGATGACCACCTTGCTCGGGTGAATGCCCACATGGACAGTGGTTCCATTGGCTTTCTCGCGCTGCACCCGCTCGATGTAGATGACGTACTTCTTTCTGTACACCTGGACCACCTTGCCGATTTGCTGGCCTTTGTAATAGGAAAAGCAGCAAAAGGGTTCCCTTGACAGATTCCCAGTAGACTTGTGGCCATGGTGGTTGGGCATTTCTGTTCTGTCTGTGAATAGCCTAAACTTGATTTCCTAGTCCTCAAAAACAATTGTAGAAGCGCTTTAAAGCCATGGAATAAATCTTTCTGCCTAAATGTGGGTGAACTAATTTTACTATCTCCGCTAATCCTAAATAACAAGATGTCGTGGAACATTAAGCAGACTATTTAGTATTGGAGGGAATTAAGGATTCACTGCCCATATAGTCCTAATCTGAAGGGAAACATAGTTGCCAGAGAGATTATAGGAACACGAATGAACTCCTAAACCAAATTAAGTAGGCCAGCGTTTATCAGCATAAGAATGATATTTGGGAGATTTTTAAGGAGCTTTGGATTGGAAGTAATATAAGGCATTTAGTGACTGAGAAAAGGAATGGTTAGGTTGCCCTTGTTTAGTTTTTACTTTTCTATTCCACTCCTAAGCAGAAAATTCTCCTAGGGAATTAAAAGATTTAATGGGACAACAGCTGGCAGAAGGAGTAAATACTCATGAGCATCAAACACGGGTTGGTAAGTAGCCTTCAAAAACAACATGAGATGTTTGAGAACAAAAGCAAATTTCACCTACATTAAAGGTTAATCCACACTGGACTTCCCGGAGAATTTTCAGATCATATTCATTCTATTGGGGGGGGGGCTTATTTATTTATCCATACTCATTCTATTTTGAACATCTCTCTCTCTCTTACTACCACCAAGTCAATGCTAACTCACAGTGACAACCCCCCTGCCCTCCCCCCCCCACTCCCCCGAACTGTTTATGGGAGTAGAAAGTGCAGTCTTTCTCCCTCAGAGCTGCTGGTGGTTTAGAACTGCCAATTGATTTCAGCTTGTTAATCTTGCATCCTGCCATTTTATCTATCCCTCCATTGTTCCTAGCAGTCTTTTGGCGGAGTCTTTGGGGCTCTGTCGATATAAAATCATCTCGTCTGAAAGCAGTGAGACGTTCACTTCATCTTTGTCCAGTTCTATTCCCTAGATTTCTTTCTGTCGCTTAGTGGCTCTGTCTTAACTGCCAGTGCGCTGTTGAGTAAGAGTGAGCTAAAGGGCACCTTTGCTTAGTTCCTATTTTCAAGGGGAAATGTCTAGGTTTTTCTCATTGTATGTTACGTTGAAGACTAAGCCATGGCATTTTCCATTGCCCCATGTGCTTGTGGAAGTTGAATACTGTATAAGGAATACCCAAGAAGAATGGGAGAATTTGAATTCTGGTGTTGGAGAACATTGCAAATGTCATGGGTTGCCAAAAGGACAAACAAATCTATCTGGGAAGAAGTACAGACAGAACGCTCCCTGGAGGCAAGGATGGAAAGACTTTTCTTACATATTTTAGACATATTGTCAGGAGAGGGCGGTCCCTGGAGAAGTCATGCTTGGTGCAGTGGAGGGGCACTGAAAAAGAGGAAGCCCTCCAGTTAGATGGATTGGAGACACAGTAGCTGCAACAATGGTCCAAACATAGCAGCGATTACGAGGATGGCCCAGGACCATGCAGTGTTTCTGTTCTGCATAGAGTTGCTATGGGTTGGCACTGACTAGAAGGTGTCTTACAACAGCATGTTGAAGAATCCCCTTATATTCATAATTTATTGAGTGTTCATTAAATCAGAAATGGGTGTTGGATATAGACAAATGCTTTTTTGGAATCTGTTAATATAATCACATGGTTCTTATTCTTTACTTATTTATGTAGGTTTCATTGTTTTTCTAATGTTGAATCATTTTTGCATCCCAGGTATGAATCTCACTTGGTTATGATGATTTATCTATCATCTATGTATCTATCTATGTATCTATCTATCGATCTATCTATCTATCTATCTATCTATCTATCATCTATCATCTATACTTTTAGCTATCTAGCTATCTATCTATCTATCATCTATCTATTTTGAAATGTTGGATTCTATTGGCCAGAATTTTGTTAAGAATTTTTGTGTCTATGGTCTTGGTCTACAGGAGCCCCATGGCATAGTAGTTATACACTGGGCTCTTAACTGAAAGTTCAGCCATTCTAAACTACCAGCTGCTCCACTAGAGAAAAATGAGGATCTCTGCTCCTGCATACAGTTACATTCTCAGAAATTCACAATGGCACTTCTACCCTGTCTTGCAGAGTCGCAGTGAGTCAGCATCAATTTGCTGGCAATGAGCTTTGCTTTTTAGTTTGGTTGCTAATGTGCATTTTTCTGTCTTGTGGCATCTTTGTCTGGTTTGGGTAGTAGGGTTATGTTTGCTCCACAGAATGAGTTTGGGACTTTGCTTACCTTTTCTATCGTGGAATAATTTGTGTAGAATTGGTGACAGCTTTTCCCTAAATGCTCATGGTCGAATTCCCCTATGAAGTCATCTGATCCTGGGGGGGTTTGATGGAAAGTTTCTTGATGAACTTCTCTATTTCTTCTTTTGTTATGTTCAAGTATTCAGCACCCCCCTGCACTAATTTGGGTACATGGTGTATTTATAGATATTTGGCCGTTTCTTCTAAATGATCAAATTTGCTGGACTACAGACTTTCGTAATAACGTGCTATTCTTTTTATTTTATTTGGATCTGTTCTGCTGTCATTCTTTTCATCTCCAATTCTACATATTTGCTTCTCTTTCTTTTTCTTTGCTAAGTTTGTCAGTGGTTTGTCAATTGTGCTAATCAGTTCAAAGAACCAACTTGCTGACTTGTTGATTTTTTGTATTATTTTTCTGTTTTCAGTTCATTTATGACTGCTCTAATCTTTATGATATTTTTCTTTTATTTGCGGAGGGTTTATATTGTTGCCATTGTTCTAGTTGTTGGAAGTTTGTGTTAAGGCATTGATTTTTGGATATCTCTTCTTTTTGCATGTGTATTGATTGCCATAAATTGCCCTCAAAAATTTGTTTTTGCTGTGTCCCAAAGGTTTGCATATTATAGAATATCATTCTCATTTTTTTTCAAGGAATTTCTCAATTTCATCCCTTATTTGATCTATTATCTAGTCATTTGAAAATAGTGCACTGTCCTATCTCCATGTGTTTTATCTTTATGTCCTTGTGCTTTCTTTATTGATTTCCAGGATCCTAGTTTTCTGAACTGAGAAATGGATGGTAGAATCTCAATGTTTTTGAATCTCCTGAGGCTTGCTTTGTGACCAAACATGTGATCTATTCTAGAGTCTCTACCCTGTGTGCTAGAGAAGTATGCACACTGTTCGCTTTTTCGGTGGAGTGCTCTGTATAGGTTGAGGAAGTTGACCTGGTTAATTGTGTTATTTAACTCTGCTACTTCTTTCTTAAGTTTCTTTCCTGACGCTCTCTCTTTCCTAAGGGTGGTGTGTTGAGGACTTCTATTATTGTGAGCTGGTTTTTTCTGTTGTTAACTCTGTGAGAATTTGATCGATCTATTATGAAGGTCATTTCTTGGATGTTTATATATAATTTTAAGTTATATGTACTTGGTATATTATTCTTTTAATCATTGTGAAATGTCTATTCTTGTCTCTCATTATGTCAGTTGCCTTAAAGCCTATTTTATCAGAGATTAATATTGCTGCTCCTGCCTCTTTATGACTGCCATTGAGTTGGCAGATTTTTCACCACCTTTTCTTCCATTATTGCTCATAGTATTTTTTCTGGATTTTTTTTTCTCCTTGCCTCTGACACTGATGAGGAGTAAGTTGTGTCTATTGATAGTGTCCCATATTCTCAAGTTTTCTTCAGATTCCTTCCTTTTTTTTAATTGTTATTACTCTGGTGAGCAAATGCCTTCAAGTCCACTGATTTGATTTTCTGTTTATTTCATTCTTTTCTTCGCGTCTTTCACTATGTTACCTCATTCTTTTATTTCATTTATTCTTCAAGTGGGAGGTCAGCCTCTGCCCTTTCAATGACTGCTGTTAGGTCCAGGTGGTCCTCTGGCATTGGATGTTGTTTCTCTTTTCTTGCTGAAGCTGTGGAAGCAGCTTGCTGTGTTTTATTCAATTTGTGGGCACTTGGTGCCGTTTTCCCAGGTGTCTCAGAACCCTGAGCTCTCTTTGGGAGGTTGTAGCTGTGCAAACTACGGTCTGATAGAAAGCATTGGCCCCAGTGCAGGGGAGCGTATTTAGGGGGTGGGCTGGGGATTGGGTGATCTGTTTCTGGCTAGGGGCACTTCCCTCAGGTAGGCAGATGGGAGGGGGGCCCGTGACTGCTGTGCAAATGCACCTCTTGGAGCCCACAAGGTGGGACAGAGTGAGCAGGGAGAAAGGATAATGCAGTGATAAAGCCCCCAAAACTTGGGTTCCTATGCCACAGCTGCAGAAAGTTTTGCTAGCAGTGGTGTGGCAGGATGCAGATCATTGAGTGCATGCATGTGTGTGCTCCACTTTCTCTTCCTCCCCTCTTCATTTGCTCCCGTTTGCTCTGATCAGACATGTCCCTCTCCCAGTGCTGTCCTCTGAAGTGAATTCTTCTGTGGGTTGGGAGGGGGTGGGTTGCAGGGGGCCAGGAGAAGGAGTGCTGCCCAATTAGTTTGGATTGGGGTCGGCCCCTCAGACCTCTCTATTGGTTCCCTGCTTCATGCTGGTCTGTTGCATTCATTTCTTGGAGCACCGGGTTCAAGTCTGGTCCCTCTTTCCCTATGGAGATATAAACAATACCCATCCACCCCTGGGGTGGGTTATTGTCAAGACTTTTTCTTAATCTAGTTTCAGATTTATTTTTAACATTCAGTGTTTATGAAACTGTAGTCATAATATAGATTTCATGTAAATAAATGGTTAAAGAAAAAGAGATTTAAAAGCTACAGAGGCAAAAATGTTTACTGTAGAAAGACCAGTGTACATTTCAAAATAGCAGCCATAAGTTGTGGGAGAAGTGAGAAAAATGAGACAGAAAAGAAATTAAAAGTATTCTGATAATGGAAATAATTATTTAAGCTGATATAAAGACAACCGTTTTATGCTTAATGTAGAGAAATGTATTCTCATACAGATTAGAAGAATGGAAGTTGGAATTCTATGCATTGGTCAAGGGAGGCTCT